ATATATATATATATATATATATATATATAATTTTATACCTATATCTCTAAAGTATTTCTACTTTCATATGCTCTTTTCCTTCTTATGAAAGCATTTTCGTTTTAAATAAACCCACTGTTAAGCAATGCTGCGATAGGCCTATTCCTGAGAATTTACTCCTGGTAGGATCTTGGGAGTTTTTTCCTCTGAGGGGTGTAGTTCCGCATCCTTTGTTAAGTGTTTTCCATGACCCCTCCATCCCTTAGGTCAAAAGCGCACCAATAAGGAAGGTTCACAAACAACGTCCTGGAGAGCGGCCCACCGGGGGGCGACACCAACACGTCTGTGGCCAGAGGTCCAGGTGTGAGCTCATTGGATCGGAGAGATAGCAGCTGGACCAGCGGCCTGCGGAACTGAAGCCGCCACCTCTGCCCAGCTGTGGAAAACCGCAGGAAGCAGGTTTCCACGTGAAGGCAGCATTCGGGCCCGGCGGGAAGTTAGCGAAGCAGGATCCTGGGTCCTTTCCTGGGCAGCGGGCCCCCGCCAGGCCCCATTGGGGGCAGTGTCCCGCCGAGCGCGGTGGGACAGGCTCACTTCCTTGTGTGCTTTCTCAGAAATCTAGGCCGTGCCCGCCCGCACCCCCATTTTCATGATCATACAAGTGGACGCCAGAGTTTATTTTGGACATGTTTTTGAGATCACAGAAGCCGTATCCACTAGACCTGAGGAGTTGCTCACTCCCAAAACCGGTACTAAGCCGGGAACCCCTGTGGTAGGCTTTGTAACGGCCCGAAACCCAAAGGCTAGAGGGCGTGTTCAGGGCCCAGGTGCAGGCCTAGAGACAAGTAACTGCTCTCGGCAGCCCCGCCCCTCAGCCCGCCCTCCCCGCACCCGCCCATCTTAGTTCTCTCTGGTCTGTAGCTTCTTCCCTCGCTGCTTCCTCTTTAAGGCGGAACCGGGCGTCGATCTCGCGAGATCCGGGTTGGCGCCGTGACCTCCATGTGGGAGCTAGAGCTCTCTATAAGTAAACACTCCGCGCGGCGCAGACAAGGCTTCTTCCTATTTGTGAGGCGGCGGTTGCGGTAGTGGCGTACCCTGCGACTGGTTCCGGTTTCCTTTCCTTCTCGGCTCCGCTGGGCGGGCGTGAGGTCTAGCAGTCACCGCCGCCAGTGGGGCCCAGCGTCTGGTCGGTTTCCTTCGTTTGTGCGCGCGCTCGCCCGCCACCCGCAGAGAGCCGGAGCCTCTGGGGAAGCCGCACGGGCCGGGCGGGGCGCGGCGTCCGAAGAGCAGGGGGAGACAAAGCCGGGCCAGCCCCCTTTCCCGGAGCCAAGATGTGGATCCAGGTTCGCACCATCGACGGCTCCCAGACGCGCACCATTGAGGACGTGTCTCGCAAAGCCACAATTGAGGAGCTGCGCGAACGGGTGTGGGCGCTCTTCGACGTGCGGCCCGAGTGCCAGCGCCTGTTCTACCGGGGCAAGCAGGTGAGGCGTGCCCACCGCACCCTCTCGGGAAGCCCGGGGCGACGGCTGCAGGGCGCCTCCAAAACGCGTGGGCTCGGCGGGCCGGAGGGCTTGGTTCGCAGCGCGTGTAGAGAGCACCTGGCTCCTCCTGGGTTGGGCAGCTCGCGAGGCTCATAGCGCATGCCCAGGGCCCGCCGAGGGGGTGCAGCGGGTCCCTACCAGCTCGTTGTGGAAGTGCGCCGGGAGGGGTGAGAGGAGGGGACGCCCAGAGCGCAGAGACCTCACCCCTCTTTCTCAGCTGGGCGAGAGCAGCTCGCAGCAGAGCCCGCTAGAGCGTCTGGGTTCCCTCGCTTCCCGCGCTCAGTGGGGTCCGGCGCCCCTGGAGGCGGGGAGGGCAGCTGGCTCTGGCGGCCATGCCACGGTGCGGGTGGGGAGGGCTGTCCCGGCTAACGGCTCGCAGTGCTTCCGCGGCTCGCAGATAGGAGAGGGGAAACTTAAAAATCGCTTCCTCTTTGGCACAAGATCCCTAGTTCTGCTTCCTCGCTGTGAAGGGTTTTGAACACACTGAAGATTCGAAGGTTTTCCAAAACTTCTGGCTCCCTTCCTTCACCTTCTCTTCTAAAATTGAAATCTGTCTTGAAGATTGGAGACTTGGGCTGAAGGAGCGAGCTTTTGATGTAATTCGGAATCGGGTTTAAGCTGCCAGGTATAGGCAAGGGGGATTATTTTCAGAATGGAAAAGAGTACGAAAGGCTGTTTTATTCTTCCTGTTCTCACCTTCTAATGTCCCCCTCACCCAAGCTTTTAACACTGCAACTGGAGCATAACCAGCGGTACGTACAAGGCTGAAAGTGGTATTGGCAGTGAGTGAGGGTGTTTGTGGGTGTCTCTAGTAGTACATGCATGGTATGGCCCTGCCCTGACCTATTGAATATTTTACCTATACCAGAAGTCTCTCATGGTCTATACCTAGAGGCAGGTCTCTATTTTGTCTTTGCCTTATTATTATTTTTTAATTCACTAAAAAAGGTGGCATTCTCCAGTTGGGTAGACCACAGTTTGGCTCCAGTTCTGTGGTTTGGAATAAATGTAGCTTGTTGATTTGGTGCAAGTAACTTTTTTTTTTTTTAATTTTTGAGAGAGACAGAGACAGAATGAGAGTGGGTTGGGGCAGAGAGAGAGGGAGGCACAGACTCCGAAGCAGGCTCCAGATTCTGAGCTGTCAGCACAGAGCCTGACACGGGGCTCGAACTCTGGAGCTGTGAGATCAGGACCTGAGCTGAAGTCGGCCACCCAACCTACTGAGCCACCCAGGCACCCCAACGTTTTCCTATAGCCACAAAGAATTTGAAAGGAATATTTTTCTTCTCTTCATAGGTTTAGCTTCAAAAACTACCCAGAAATTTCAGAGTAACAAGATTATGCTCAGAGAAAGTGCCAAGGTTATTTTAATTTGTTTTTATTTTTAATTTATTTAAATTTTTTTTAATGTCTACTTATTATTGAAAGAGCATGAGCAGGGGAGGGCCAGAGAGGGGGAAGCACAGAATCTGAAGCAGGCTCCAGGCCCTGAGTTGTCAGCACACAGCCAGATGAGGGCTCGAACTCACAAACCGCGAGATGGTGACCTGTGCCACCCAGGCGCCCCTATTTTGTTTCCAAATAAGTGGTAGCATCTTTCATATGTGTTTGCAGCTCTTTTATGTCGATCATTTGCTGTTTGACTTGTAAAACACATGTTCAATTTTTAGTTGTAAATCTTGCTTTTGAAATCGTGTATGTTAAACCCCATGTAGCTTTATATTGCTGTACCTCCAGTGATCCCTTTTTTTATCTTTTGGTCAAAGATGAAAATTAGGTTATCAAGTCTTCTGAGTTTTATTTTCTAGGTAGGGATAATAGTACATGAATTCTGGGATACTTAGGTGACTTCAGCACAAGAGAGAAATGAAGCATGAGAATATATTTCTGGGCAACACACCTAAAGTCTAATTATCAAATATGCAAAAAGAGAACCTGCACATGGCTGCCTTGAGGAAAAAGTAGAAATAGAGTTACATTTAGGTCAACAAAGTAGACTTCCAGTAAACCAGGAAGTCAGTTCCAGGTTTAGGGAAAAACTGTTCAGGGTAATTATCCTTTTGTACTTCTTCCCCCAGGACTCTTAACTCACTACTTTGATTTCTTCAGCTCAGTGATAAAGCAGTAGGGATGAGGAATGGACCTTCGGTGCCCCATTGAGTTGAAGACAGAAGGATGACACTGCTCTGTTTTGTTTACTTCTCTGTGAGCTAAGTAGCCATGGCAGTGATTATTATCTCTTTGGAGTTCACAGTGCATGGAGAGAGTAGTATGTCTATAGCAGACAACTACTGGATTGGCATCACAGGGCTTTCTCTCACTTGTAAACTGCCTTTGTGCTTATCAGAAAAAGGCACCCCTTACTACATAGTGAGAAAAAAAGTCATAGATAAATTTATGGTGTCTGTGATGTAAGTGGTACCCTTTCTCCCTTATTCCCCACCCTTTTTGTTAGGACTGTTACTTATAGTCTTTGGTATATATCACTTGTGGATATTTATTATAGATGCTCAGCTCACCCCAGAATTGCAAGTGGTTGAATATAACAAGACCGCATGGGAGATTCTCATGACCACCAGAGTTGAAAAATAGTCGGTCTCCTAATTTCTTACTCTTCAAAGTATGGTCCCTGAATCAGCAGGACCTGCAGCCTTAGCTTCACCTGGGAGCCTCACGCTACACCTATCGAAGTAGAATCCATATTTTTAATAAGGTCCCCAGGTGATCTCTATGCAAATTAAATTTGAGAAGCAGAGTAATTGATTCCACTTTTGTGGGTCAAAATAGCAATTCTGGGCTGTGAGTTCTGGTTAGAGTAGGGTAACCTCACTTGGACATTATTCTGGGAGTTTGAGTGTGCATCCTGGGGATTGGGTCTTTAGGGAAGAGTTAGGTTGATGGATCTCTAAATATTTTGAAAATCCGGAGCTTTCCTACTTTTAAAGGAATTTGTTCCCTCCTCTTTTTTTCATTTGTATCACTGTAGATGGGACATGAACCAAAGCTGAAGAAAAACGGAGTAGTTGCTTTTGCCCCTAGATTCTGTTTTCACATGGATTACAAAGTAAAAGTTTTTGCCTAAAGGGGAAAGAGAATGTGTATGTCATATTTATATTATATATGTGATGGGAAAGATACATAAAATTTGTCAACCTCATGCCCTCTACCTGCATTCTTTATCAGTAACCCCTTTGGAATGAATTCTCCTCCCTTGACTTCTCAGCAATTGTCAGTTGGTGTTTGCTTCCTACTTTTCCCTTGCATCACTTTTCTAGTTCTTACTGTTACCTGGAATTTCTGACTTCAACCCAATACAAATTGAAGACTGCAGTCTGGCAAAAAAAACCAAAAAACAATAATAAAAAAATTCTAGGGCCATTCCTGCCTTTCTAGTATTCTAAGACTGTGCCCCTGTCTTCTAGGATGGCAGTTGGAAACATTTTCAGCTATGAGACATTGATGGACTATAGTTACATGCCTGAAACACATAGGTGTTTATAATTTCTAAGTGACTCAATCTCTTTCTTACAGTATAATATAAATGACAGTGATTCCAGTCTGCACTTTCATTAATTTGGGGGCACTTCACTACTTTTCAAGTAACATTCATTCCAACATTATTCACAATAGCCTAGCTGTGTGGAAGTTACTATGCAATGGCTGATAATCACTTTTTTTTGAAAACTGAATACCTATGAATTAGGGAAGGAGTAGATAATATGGGTAAAAGTGACTCTCCTAGCAAGCATGAATAATTGAAGGAAAAGTTACATGTTAATGTAAACCTAACTTCTATTATAGGGCCTCATTCCTTGATATGCTTCGTGTTTTACTACACACATTGCTTTTCCTTTCAAACGAAATCCTGTTTGAAGCAGCTTATGTTATTTGGACCAATCACTTGGTAGAAACTAGTCAGAGGTATTGAATATGAGAATGTCCCCACTATCGCTCTGACTCTTGTGCCTCAGATTTCAATGGAAAAATGTTTATGGAAGCACTTTGGATTTCCAGTTATTGTACTGCCTTCACAGCTCTCTTCATTTTAGGAAATGTCCTTCCAGTTAATTTGCATGTACTGTACTGTTTTGGTTTGGTTTGCATGCCCTATAAATGTTAACAGAGTTTTTATTTTCTGCTTTGAACACTGTCATAATGTGCAATAGTTGTATGTTTGATCACATTGTACTTATTTAACTATTCCAGAACTAGTATGTTCTCACCTTTTTTGGGGGAAAGGAGTATTGGAGATGTCAAATGAAGGTGTGAATGTATAGTTCTTTTGCTCCTTGAGTTTGTTTTCTCCAGGAATTCCGGATTAGAGGAAGTTGTTGTTTGCTAATATTGCTTACCTTATTTATTTATTTTTTATTTTTTTATTTTTTCAATATATGAAATTTATTGTCAAATTGGTTTCCATACAACACCCAGTGCTCATCCCAAAAGGTGCCCTCCTCAATACCCATCACCCACCCTCCCCTCCCTCCCACCCCCATCAAC